GGCCCATCGAAACTGAGGACTTGGTATACCTAATAGGTCTCAAAGTTGTATATACTGAGCCGCAAAGGAACTGCAGGAACGCTCTGAAAGTAGCAGCATCGCAGTCCTCGATTTTTATAACTTTCGAAACGTCTTCCTGCATGCCTGACGTCAGCTGCTTCCTTAGTACCTCGGATCTCGCACAAAGAATCTGCGAGTGCGCCTGAAGCACCTCGCCCTGCACCACGATTTGAACATCGCTGCAATTGCCTTCCTCAAGCAGCGCCTGCGTGTCTTCGCTCATAGTCGCCTCAGGAACCTCCACGGCAAAGCTCAAGCGCTGACACTTGGGGAGTTGGTCAGGACGAACTTCGAGCTCGAACTTCGCAGTGAGAGTGTCGTCCACCACCCACTCCGACTGCAGCAGCTCCTCATGGCTCATCCCGAAGATGCCCAAAGAAGCCGGAGGACAACCCGGCGAATGCACATCCGGGCCGTATGCACGTTCAGCAACTTCATCTTCCTCAAAATGAACGACGTCACTTGTCTCTCCCCACTGCACAAACTCACCGCTCCGCGCCTTGACGTAAATACGATGCCGGAGCGCGATACTGTCCTCCGTTTCCAGCCATACGGCAAGAGACCCATGATGCCCCCCGCAAAGCTCGCCTGCCCACGGGTTGTAGCAAAATACAAAGGTTTCGTGACCGAGCTCGAACGGCATGGAGCGGAGGTTAGTGTCACCTCCCTGCTTCAGCACGCATTTCAGCCAGGAAAAGCCTGTGATTCTCCAGACATACTCGCCCCTGGCGACATCTTCGGCGCAATCAGTGCTGTTTCCACCACTTGCTCGCATCACGGGCTGCTTCGGGTGTCTCGGTACTCCACTACCGGAACACCGCCACCAATCGATCCTGTCCTCATCAAAGGACCTCCGACGCTCAGCTTCATGCGCATTTCCTCGTTGCCCGCACGCCAGAATCTGTCTCATGTCATCCAGCTCCTAGTTCATGGCTGGGATAGCATTGAAAAGTGCTAGTTCATATTCCTTGTGGGCTTTTAAGTACCCACAAAACGGTACAAAATGTGAGTGCCCATAAACCTGTAAAATGTTGGTTGTTTTAGATACCCATAAATCATAAACCTGTAAAATGTGAGTTTATGAGGTACCCATGCAAGTGAAAAACGTGGGTTTCAAAAATGTCAAATGTTCCCCAAACTATGACCTCACTGGCCCAAAACCCAGGGAAATAAAAGTTGAAACTTCCAGAATCGACTACGTTATAAGAACCCTAAAAGTTGAAAAGAGTTGAGCTTTCAGCCAACCATGACACTAAACATAATTGGTGAAAAAAATAGTTTTAAGATTTCGAAAATGAAAAAAAAAATTGAAAATGTAAAATGTTGCCCAAACTATGACGCAGGCTCCATCCTTAGCCTCTGCCGCTTTGCCGCCTGCTGGGTCTCGGCCTCGAGCTCCCGGCGCCTGCTCTCCTCTGCCTCCACCTTAGGGGGGGGGGGGGTTCCGAAAATGAGGGGATTTGGGGCCGTAGGGTTCCTTTAGGGGTTCTGAAAATGAGGGCACCCGAATATAGGGTTTCGAAAATAAGGGTTTAGGGGGGGGGTTCCGAAAATAAGGGGATGCCTTAGAAGCTGCCCCCACCCTGTAATAGTGACCATAAGGATTATCTAGGATTAGATTAGGGCCCTATGATATTCCTATTATACCACTATTACAGGGGGGGGGTTCCCGAAAATGATGGGATGCCGTATTTTGGGGTCCCAGGGTTCCTTTAAGGGTTCTGAAAATGAGGGGACCGAATGTAGGGCTTAGGGTTCAGGGTTTAGGGTTCCGAAAATTAGGGGTGCTGCATTTTGGGGTCCTTTAAAGGGCTACTAAAAGGTACTGTAAGGGTGCGTTTAAAGGGCCCTGTAGAGTTTCCGAAAATTGAGGGATACCATATTTTTGGGTCCTAGGGTTGTTCTGGCTCTATAAGGTTTCAGGGTTTAGCGGTACCTTATTTTGGTGCCCTTATAATTAGGATCCTACTATTTTTTAGTGCACTATATCAGAGTCCTTCATTTTAGTACCGCCCGAAAAGAAGGATCCTTATTGTATGGACCCCAGAATCAAGTAATTTGGGGCCCTGTACTACTAAGGGTACTTTATAGGAACCCCCATTAAGGGATCTACTTTTTCGATCCTTCCGGGGGTCTGGGTAAAGGAACCCATAGGTACCCGTAGCTTTTGGAAACTCCCGACCTGGCGCCGGGTGGCCTCGATCTCGGCTTCTAACTCTTCGGCCGTCATTGCCGCCGCCATGGCGAAGGGTTCAGGGTTTAGCGGTTTGGGGTTTAGGGCTTTGGGGGTTTGGGGGTTTAGGGGTTTAGGGTTTAGGGGTTTGGGGGTTTGGGACTTGGGGTTTAGGGCTTAGAGGTTTAGGCGTTTAGGGGTTTAGGGGTTTGGGAGTTTGGGGCTTTAGCGTTTCGGGGTTTAGGGTTTAGGGGTTTAGGGGTTTTGGGGGCGAGACAGGATCGTCGTCTGCATCATCGTGATTACGGCTAGCATCGCACAACTACAGAGGTACGCAGCCACTCGTGAATGGATATTTCTCGTCAATGGACACCAGACAGATTGATCCACTGAGGGTGCGAGCTATGCCGCTATGCAGGAACAGAACAAGGTCCCGTCTGGAAACACATCCGCCAGATCACCCTAACCCCCAAAACTTGAAAAGGACAGTTGGGACATGGAGCGAAGTCGGGGCTGGAGTGTGCTAAGACTCTTCTAGGACCTCAATTTCGGCGAGAATGGCCGGGCTTCCTGCCACCATCGACGGAATGGAGGTATGAAGGCCTTCGGGTTGCGGCCCAGGGCGTCTATCGTTGCGGGCTTTGGGAGGTGTCGGCTGAGGGGCTGTGGGGTCAGGATGCGCAGTCTCCGGCTTTGAAGGTATTCACGTGGGTGGTTGTCAGGATTATGGTCCCTTTTTGGATGGATACCCTAAATATTAGCTGCCGTACTATATTAGGGACCCAAAAAGGGACCATAGTTTTGACAACCACCCCTGTGTAAGGGAGCTGGTGGCTGTGTTTTGCGGTTTCCGTAGGGCCATAGGGGTTGTGGTGTTGACGGTTTGGGAGTTCAGGACATCGGTCCTCAGCGCTCTCATGCGCTTTGGGCACAGAAACGCCTTCTTGGAGTCCTTCTTTTGGGCTCCTTTAACGGTTTGGGGGTTAAAGGTTTAGGGTTTGGGGTTTAAGGTTTAGGGTTTGGGGTTTAGGGTCTGGGGTTTAGGGTTTAGGGTTCTCATCCGACGCTTCCACCTCGCTACAGCTGTCTGAGGAAAGTAGTATTCTGGACCCCCTCATCATCCCTAATGTATAGGATGATGACTAATTTTCCCCGAAACCTTGCTCTAAACCCTAAAACCCCTAAACTCCAAACACCTAAACCGCAAATTCCTAAACCCCAAATTCCTAAACCCCAAAACCCAGACCCCTAAACTCCAAAAACCCTCAACCCCTTCAGTGCTATAGTCTTCAGCGTGGCAGCTTCCGCCCCTGCAAAGCCAAAAAGTAACAACAGCCACCATCCCGAACATCCTTAAACCTAAAATCTGGGGTTCAGGGTTCAAGTTTCAGGAATGAGGATTAGGCGTTTAGGATTATTTGCTGGGTTTAGGGTTTACACTTTGGTTTACAGCTGTCGGGCTGCATGCCTCATTTCGGCATCTGGACAAGTCGGGTTGTGAAAGACCTGTACCACGCATCATCAGTTCCTAGATAGTAGGCTGCCATGGTGTAGTGTAGAACCCAAAAGGTTCAGGTTTAGGGTTTGGGGTTTAGGTTTTGTGCGGCTTCTGTTAACTATGGACCTGCAATCATTGCTTGCTTGAACTCCTACCGACAACCAAGCGACGTCCTACTTGAAAGACCACCACCCTTTGCAAATCTAGGCATGTGGGGATTGAAGGCCGAAGTCAGAGTTTTGCCCGCCTCTCGTGCTAATTTTGTACTTTGCACAAACCCTAGACCCTAAACCCTGAAGCCTAAACCCTAAACCCTGAACCCTAAACCCTAAACCCCTTAAGCCAGAGCCCTCCACTACAGATGCAAGCAGGAACCTTTGCACGTCTCCAGCTCAGTGCACACGGTGGTCTGGCTTTTTGCGCCCGAAGACCATGAAAACAATGACTTGCACATGAAACCCTAAACCCTTAACCCTCGAAGTTAATGCAGAATGAACACTTCCCCATTGACGCATCATATAGAGCCCTTGTAGAGAGGTCATACAGCCGTTTATAGAATCCTGATACTGAAAGAGCCGCTGTAGAATGCAACAGAATAGAGAAAAGAAGCCCCAGAAGGGTTTCGATACACAGCTCATCCCCTAAAACTGTCTTTCATATGTGTATTTAGATGTTAATTGGCTTTTCGGTTTTGGTCCCGATTTTGGTTGCGCGACCTTCGGGTTTCGGGCTTAGGGTTTCGGGCTTAGGTTTTCGGGGTCGGCATACGGTTTCACGCGTAGGGTTTCGGGCTTAGCGTTTCTAGGGTTTCGGGCTTAGGGTTTAGCGTTTGGGGTTTCGGGCTTGGGGTTTCGGGCTGAGTGTTTCTAGGGGATAAGGCCTTGAGGCCTAGGGAAGATGATAACCTTTGAACTTTCTTAAATGATCAATCCTATTTCATGCTTTAGGCGAGTAGGTTTTTTGCTAAGCCGAAACAGGCTCGACCAAAGACTGCTCGATCCGGAGCTGCTGAACCCTACTCCCTAAACCCCAAATCCTAAACCCTAAACCCCAAATCCTAAACCCTAAACCCTAAATCCTAAACCCTAAACCCTAAACCCTAAACCCCAAATCCTAAACCCTAAACCCTAAACCCTAAATCCTAAACCCTAAACCCTAAATCCTAAACCCTAAACCCTAAATCCTAAACCCTAAACCCTAAATCCTAAACCCTAAACCCTAAACCCCAAATCCTAAACCCTAACTTTCCTAAACCTCTCAGGTCTTCACTGCGCCATCCTCGAGCCTCCGTTTCTTGGATGCCTGTACCTTGGCTCTGGGTGGGGGGGGTTTAGGGTTTAGGGTTTAGGTTTTAGGGTTTAGGGTTTAGGGTTTAGGGTTTAGGGTTGAGGTTTTAGGGTTTAGGGTTTAGGGTTTAGGGGGGGGGGTCCTGAAACACAATGCTTTGAGGTTTGGGGTTTAGGGTTGAAGACTAAAAATGGAGCTCGGCTTGTTGATGGGGTTAGCTTTAAACACAACATCCTGCCTCCTCCTGTGTGGTCTAGGTCTTAGGTTTAGTCGTTATAAAGGTTCTAGGGTTTGTAGGGTTTGAGGTGTCCTTCAAGCGATACTCCACAACGAAATTTGGGAGCAACAGAACGGACACTGCTTAGGGTAGCTCTAGTACGGAAAACCGAACCCCAAGTTGTATAAAGACAGCGAAAACAAAGCAACGCCTACAACCCTAACCCCCCTCAAACCTAAACCCAAACAATACACATTAACAACAATTATTTCAATACTGATAATAATACTTAATATTGTCATATGAACCACATCGTTAACACTCATAATAGAATGTAGTAAAGATAAGAATAAAAAGAAAATAAGAAAAAGAATAGTAGCTATATTATCAATAAACAGCACTGAGAAGGCCTAGGGACCACTTCATCCGCCTTGGCTTCGGGTACTCCGGCAGAGACGAGGCTAATCTTCATCCCCACGTCCGGCCACCTGGGGAGGGACGGTTTAGGATTTAGAGTTTAGGGTTTACCTTAACCCCAAATAGCCTACCTTTTTAGGGACTTATATAAAGGAATCATATTAGGGACCCTAAAAATGTAGGTTCCTTAGGGTCCAGGTAGGGTTTGGGGTTTAGGGTTTAGGATTTGGGGAGGGTTCCTTTAAGTTGGGGGTCCCATAATTCCCTTAGGGAGGGCTGCTTTCAGTGGCTTCTAGGGTTTAGGGTTTAGGGTTTCCCTTAAAATGGATCCGTAAGGGCTCCGATAAGTGATCGATAAGCGTTCTAAATGGGGGTTTTACGTGTTTAAGAGGGTTTAGTGCTCCTTTATATGGGATCCTATAATTCCTTTCAGGAGAGTTTCGGGCTTATGGCTTAGGGTTTAGGGTTTAAGGGGGTTTTGGGGTTTGGGAGTTGAGGGCTTTGTGCGTTTAGTGAAGTGTGGTTAGGGTGTGTTGAACGTGTTGGATTTTTCGGGTTCTTAGCGTGTTTTGGGCCTAGGGCCTTGAGGCTTTTGTTAGGCTGTTGTGGCTTCTCGGGAATTCAAAGGTTTAGGCTGACGAGGGGTTTTAGGGATGTGGGTTGGGGCTCTAAGACCTGGGGCTTTTAGGGCTTTGGATTTCTAGTGGGATAAAGGCTTCAAGAGTTTTACAGATCTTATCAGGGTTTCTATGGGAGAAACTTATCCGAACGAGCTGAAAAGGCGTTAACTCAGTTCCGTCAGGGGCTTGGGAAAGCGGAACAAGAGATCGAAAAAAACGAATCTTATGACTGATTCGATAAGAAAACCGTTGTTTCAGAAGTTGGCATTCGGGGTTTTGAAACCGCTGATGCTTTTTCGGGCTTAGACTTCGGATACAGCATTCAAGCCTCGACAGCAGCAGCAACAACAAGAACAACAACAAAGAGACCCCTAAATCCTGAAAACACTAAACCCAAAACCCCAGACAATGAATCAACATGCTAAACCCAAAGCCTTAAACCGGAGCTCTAATCCAGAACTCGCCCACCTCTTCGCCAGCTCGATGTAATCCGGGAGCTTAAAGACCTGCATTTCGGGTTTAGGGGTTTTGGGTTTAGGGTTTGGGGAATTTCATCACCCTACACCCCAAGCCCTAAACCCTGTCGTGGTGACCCTAAGGACAGTTGGATGTTTGTGGGGCCTTTGTATGCTCACCCCTAAAACAACAGCTGAACGCCGACCTCGGTAAGATGGTCCTTGATGAAGGAGAGGCAAGCCTTTACAAGCTGCTGCGCGTCGAGCAGATTCGCTTGCTCGAGGATGCTGCAGACCTCCGCAATCTTGAGCCCCTGACAAAGCTGATTCTCGCCTGAGCTTCTAGACTTGGGAGTTTCCGACAAATAGGGGACCGAGATATAGCACCCTAAATAGTAGGATCCTTATTATCAGGACCCCCAAACACGTAAGGCACCCCTCATTTTGGGAAAGTCCCACTTGGACCATCGGACAAGGGTTCTAGTGCTGGAAGCCAGGATACGAGGCATACGTTACTTATTCCTAAACCCCTAAACCCTATGGTGAAAACCCTTAACCAGCTCTACATCAGGGTGTACGTTTGAAGGTGTGGGCTGTTGAAACTCGGAGGGCAGAAGACTAAGATGGAGTGCGTCGCACTACACAGCCCAGTCACACCACAGCTGAAGCCTCGTCGTCTGATATTTGTGACTGACGGCCAGCAACGCCTGTTCAGGGTTAAGGGCTCAGGGTCTAGGGTTTAGGGCTAGCTGTTTACGGTAATACTTGTAGTGGTAAAAGTAGTAGAAGTAGTAGAAGAAGTAGTAGTAGTAGTAGTACTACTACTACTACCACTACTACCACTACCACTACGACTACTACCACTACGACTACTACTACTACTACTACTACTACGACTACTACTACTACTACTACTACTACTACTACTACTACTACTACTACTACTACTACTACTACTACTACTACTACTACTACTACTACTACTACTACTACTACTACTACTACTACTACTACTACTACTACTACTACTACTACTACTACTACTACTACTACTACTACTACTACTACTACTACTACTACTACTACTACTACTACTACTACTACTACTACTACTACTACTACTACTACTACTACTACTACTACTACTACTACTACTACTACTACTACTACTACTACTACTACTACTACTACTACTACTACTACTACTACTACTACTACTACTACTAGTACTACTACTACTACTACTACTACTACTACTACTACTACTACTACTGCTACTACTGCTACTACTACCTCTAATGGTAATAGTGGCGCCTGCACCCTCGACAAGTCCGGCTCGGAAGCTTTCGCCTCACCCGATCCGCCAGAGAGCTCTGCGACGCTGGGGAGGCAGTCGGTATAAATGAACCGCAGGAAAGCCTGAAGAGGCTCACCATTAAAGCTCATACTGTATATTATAGTATACTATGGTGTATCATAAGGATCCGCAGGAAAGCGTGAAAAGGGCTGATGTTCTAGGGTGTTGGAGTTTGGGTTCTAGGGTTTCAGGGTTTTAGGGTTTGGGGTTTAGGGTTTAGGGTCGGTGTAAAAGAACCGCAGTAAAGCCTCATTAAAGGTGATACAGTATAACATATTCTTATGATGTATCATGCTGGAACTATATACCTTACGTACTATACTGTGTATTGTATCTTCCTGTAGTGTATTGTATTACATTATACTATACGTTGGTATATTATGTTGCATGATGTTTTCGTGTATACTAACATGTTATATTTTCCTAAAATAATGTATTCTACTATATCATAACTTTTTCATATCATACTAGGGGCTCAGAGTTTAGGATCCGGGCTTAGTGGATTCAGAGTTCAGGGTTCACGGCTTAAGGTGTAGGTAGGGGTTTCCCTGACGGTTTCAGGGGTTTAGGGTTTAGGTTAGGGTTTAGGGTTTAGGGTTTAAGGCTTAGGGTTTAGGGCTTAGGGTTTAGGGTTTGGGGTTTCGGTGCCTTGAAGGTAGCCACATCGCAATCCTCAATCCAGACCACTTTCCTGGGCGCTTAGCTTGGAGGCCCGGTAAAACCTAGGTTTTCGGGTCTACGTTAGAAGCTGCCCCCACCCTGTAGTCGTGGTATAATAGGAATATAATACGGCCCTAATATAATCCTTATAGTCACGGTTAGAGGGTGGGGGCCTCTTCTAAGGTCTAGGGCCTAGGCCTTAAACTTGTGGTTGGTGTTCATTCTTATTGTAAACAGATTGTACTTGACTATAAACCCTGAACCCTGAGACACGCAAAATATGTTCAATAACGGCGCGGCTTCGATGCAGATTCCTGCATGCCGCCGGTGAGCTCCTTCCTGAATACTTCCGATCTGGCGAAGAGAACATGTGAGTGCGCCGGGATCATCTCATCCTGCACCTTTTAGGGTTTAGGAGTTTGGAGTTTTGCGATTTTGAGCTTACGGTTGTGCAATTTGGGGGTTTTGAGTTAGCGGTTGAGGCTTTGGGTGTTTAGGGCGTTTAGGGCTTACCTTATCCTCAAATAACATACCCTTTCTAAGCACGTATACACAGAAATCATAAGAAGACTCCCTAAAGAGGTGGGTGTTATAGGGTCCAGGTAAGCCCTTAGGGCTTATCGTTTCATCCTGCACCTTGAACTGCACGTCGCTGCAGATGCCGTCCTCAAACAAGGCTTGCCTGGGTTGTAGTTTTGGCCCACGCCAACGGCTATAGGACCATAAGTAAAGGAATTTTTCTATGTATGAACAGGTAGGTCTATAGGACCATAAGGGAAGTTTGAAAGGTTCCCGAAGTGCCACCTGGCTGCATGTCGCGACTCAAAGTGGGACCGGGAACCTCGACGGTCGGACGGAGCAGCTGGGACATGAAGTGCTCGTCTGGACGAACTTCCAAAACAAACTTCACCGTCAACGTGTCATTCTCAACCCAAGGCGACTCCAGGAGCTTTTCGTGCGTTAGGCCGAAGATGCCCACTTTAGCCGGTGCCTTTGAAGCTTCGTGAACATCAGGGCCGTACGCCGTCTCGGAACCGTCATGGACTTCAAAACACGTTTTTCCCCATTGCACGAAGTCTCCTCCGCACTTCTTGATGTAGATGCCCCACCGCAATGCTATCTCCGAGGACTCGTATGGTGCTATGGCAAGGGAGCCGCACTGACCTGTCATGGAGGGTGTGAGAGCACCTCCATGAGGATTGTAGACAAACTCGAAGGTGAACTTGCCCACCTGGGTAGTTGTCAAAATTAGGGCCCCTTTTTGGGTAGCCTAAATACTAGGTGCCGTATTATAATAGGGACCCACAAGGGACCCTAACTTTGACAACCACCCACCTGGAAGTGAGATGACTCCAAGTATCCTAGCTCACGCTGCTGAAGCACCGTTGGCAGCCAGGAAAACTGATGAAGTGTCCACCTGGGTTCTAGGGTTTAGGATTTTAGGGTTTTAGGGTTCAGAGTTTAGGGTTCAGGGTTTAGGGTTCAAAGTTCAGGATTTAGGATACTAGGGTTTAGGGCTTAGGGTTCAGGGTTTGGGGTTCAGGGTTTAGGGTTTAGGGATGGGTTGTAGTTTCGGGGCTCTGAAAAGTAGTTAGGAAGAGGTACCTCTATAGGAACCATAAGGGAAATTGAAAAGCTTCCCAAATTGCCACCTAGCCACACATACTCGCCCCTCGCAAGCTGGTGCCCGAAACTCATACTTTCCTCACATGCAGCATGAGGCACATAGACATCGTTCTTGGCGGGAGCGGCTGGACACGAATCTCCAGGGATAGCCGGTCCATCTCGGTCCTCGTCGACCCTGTTTCGGTACCACACTTCCACACTATTCTTGTGCGTCTCACGCGCTAAAATCGCCTTCTGCATATCCAGCCTCCGCCGCAGCCTCTGTCTCTTTTCGGCAAGGGACTACTAGAATGGCTTATATAGAGAGCATTTAAAAAAACCTCAGCCCTAAACCCTAAACCCCTAAAAAAGATATCCCGTAACCCCCAAAAAACCGTAATCCCCGAACCCCCAAAAAACAAAACTAATCCTCAAACCCCGAAAAACCCTGATTTTGCAGTGCCTCTGTCGCTCTTCGTCTAGGGTCAACAATAGATTACGTAGGGGCTGACAACGGCTACTAAAGTTATTATAAACCTCTTAACCCCTAAACCCCTAACTCCCTAAACCCCTAACCCCTACATCCCTAACCCCCGAGCCCCTAAACCCCCCAAAACCGGAGCCTCTGTCTCTCCTCGGTTAGAGACTACTATAATGCATTTCAGATCCCTTTAAGGGACCCTTAAAAGAACCCCTAAACCCCAGAACCTCCCAAAACCGGAGCCTCTGTCTCTCTAAACTCCTAAAACCCTAAACACCTTTAGATCCCTTACAGGAAGTAGTTATAAATCCCTTTAGGGAGGCCTCTGTCTCTCTTCGGCAAGGCCGGTCTCGGCCAGGAGCTCACGATGCTTCGCCTGCTCCGCTTGCACGCGCCGGCCGGTGGCCTCGAGTCAGATGCTTTCCTTTAAGGAGGGTTTACTTACCTTTGGTTAGTAGGGAATGGAAGAATGGTAGTAATAGTAGTTAAAATTGTACCCCATTCTTCCATTCACTACTAACAAAAGGTAAGTTTAGGCTATGGGGTTTAGGGTTTTTTTGGGATGGTTGGCTGAACTCGTCTGAGTGCACTCTCATGCAAAGTCTGACACAAACTCAAGGCGGCAAACAATCCTGCCAAAGCGCAGGGAAAGTGCCGCAAAAGGTGGCCTCAATTGGCCTGAGGACAGCTCTGTTACCGTGCCTCGAGACGGCCCAGTTATCAAAAACTGTCCAGCTCGCGCTTCGCGCAGAGCTCGACCTGACTACAAAAAGGCAGCAATCCACTAGCCCTTTGAGGCAAGTCGGAACACTGAGAAGGTGCAAGGGGAGATCTTCATCGCGCAGGTGGTGTGCGTGCCCCAGCTCGACAAGGCGCCGGACGAAATCAGGCAGTTCCTTGGAGCGTGCTCCGTTAACAGTGCTAGGCAAAACTGGCCAGCGGATGCCGGCAGTGGGGGCATGAGGAACCCCGGCAGGACGTGGAGGCCGAAGTGTGGCCCAAAACGGCTTAGGCCCATGGGCAACAGCGGCAGGCGGCCAAGCAAACTGGTGCCGTTGAGGCGCATGTTCGGTGGCCTCGATGTCGGCAGCATCGAGAACATGAAGGCAATCGGGCGCCTTCCTGAGGTGCTCAATGAGTCTGCGAGTGCTCCAAAATTCCACGCTGCAAACTTCGCAGCGACTGCCTCCGGCGAGCCGTCGCGCCTTGGCAAGATCGCCATGTGTCTTGCTCGCATGTGCAGCTGCTGCTGCGGCAGTGCGGAATGTCCTGGTGCAGAATGCGCACGGATGAACAGCATCTGCACGATGCTCCGTCGAGAAGGTGCAGAAGATCCAACCGTGCTGACGAGCTGAATCAAGAGCCCTCCAGGAGGGGATCAGACTGGCTCCTCTAGCTAACCGATCAGCTCGACGATGCTTGACATAGCATCTGATCCAATTTTTTGCAGCACTTGGCTTGGTGGTAAGCAAGGCCCAAGGATCTTGACAGCTAGAGGTTTTCGGGACACACCTCTTGGCTGCTTCCTGGACTTCCCTAAACCAAGTACCATCCTGAAACCAAAGGGCACGGATGGACTCAGAATCAGCATTCCAAAGCCACGCCGCATGGCGCAGGATCTCGATGGCTCTGAGCTCCTCGGAACTAAGAACACCCAAGCCATCGCAGATCTCATCATCGTGTAGGCCCCGAGATGAGCAACCCACAATAGGGCGGAATGCCCTGCGTAGTAGCTCCATGTACCCGGAATGGAAGGCCTCTCTTTCCTTCTTTGTCTCCAGTCGCCATAGCCCCGCACCATGCTTGAACCGCGCAACCGGCATGGACAAAAGAAGGTCTGTCTTCTCTCGCCCTTCAAGAAAAGGGTTGCACAAAAGCTTCATGAGCGGCTTTTGAAGCTCTCGAGCGAGAGTGCGCCGCCGCCGAATATCTTCCGTATCACCACCCTTTATGTCAGCGAGAGACCCGAGATGGACATACGCGGGGGTTATATGCGCAGAGGTGTCGGTGCCATCTGGAAGGGTGACGGGAAAGGTGGCTCCCTCGGTGGCGCACCAACGTGTGCGATGTAACTTGGCGCCGGATCCATAGAAAATGGGCAGCAATTCTGATTTGCCTTGGCTCCAGTTAATCGCAATGCCTATATCACCAAAGGCTGTGGCGACCTCGCGAAGGATACATGACGCCGTAGGTATGACCTCTGCTGGGGTTTCGGTAGCGAAGGGCACCGCCAAATCGTCCATCCAGGTCGGTGCCGGGACCTGAATGTCTCGCTGGGCACCGCATCCCGACTCGATGAATTTTGTTCGGAATTGTCTGAGTGCAGTGGAAAAGATGTATTGAAAGGTCAAATCGGCCAGAGGTGCACCCGGCGTAGTGCCAGTGTGGGTGATAAAGGCCTCTTCTCCATGCCGCCCCATGCAAAACCACGTCCTGTCCAGATTGGCTGCAATGAGACGCCGCACTTCTGGTTGAACATCACACCTGGCTAGCAGCCCCGGAGCCACAGCTGAGGCGACGAAGCGATCTCTGGCCTCATCATCATTGAAAAGCGTGCAGGCCAGCTGATTGAGGTAGTCGAGGGTGGAGTCCGCGTCCCGCCCAACGAGACTTTGTCTGATGGTAGCATAAAAGGCCGTCTGTCCATCCACAAAAACGACAGCTCCCGAACGACGCTTGGAATGCAGCTCTGTAAGGAAACCTCGGACCTGGGACATGGCTGTCTGCATGGGTGCGTGGGGTCTGCTGCCACCCTGTCCTTCTAGTCTGATGGCGACAAAACCTCGGAGCAACTCACCACGAAGCGCACCACCTAGGCCCTTTGCTCCGGCCTCCATGAGCATGATCGACCTCCATCCCCCTGGAGTCGTCAAACTCTTGCCGGGTTTCTCGATGGGGGCAGCTCGCCCTCCTCGCCACAACAGTGGCGACTGTCCACGCATCAGCATCTTCAGGATTAAAGGAGTGTGTACAGCTGCGGCCTGCCCGGGTGCAAACCTGAAAATCTCGGAAGGGACTCCGGAGAGCCCAGATGCTTTGCGAGTGGCCATGGAACCGAAAGCATGGGCAAGGTGTGGAAGGCTTACGGAATCAACCGCACTGAGGACAGCGCATTCCTCTCTGGCCGGTTGGGTAGTGATGTCGTCCGCCCTGGCCGGTGTCGCCCGTTCCGCCGTAGCGAAATGTTGTCCGAGCACGGCTTGTGAATCCTGCGCCACAGCTCCGTCTGCCATTAACAAAGCTGGGGATAGATTGGGCTTCTTATACCCTCTTCCAGCTTTCATCACACCCTTGAAAAGTCGGAAGAGGCTCTCTGGGCCCTGCTTGTGCGCCTCCTGGAAGATCTGTTTGGTGGCTCGGGCGGCATCTTGTTTGGCAAGCTTGGCCACTTGCCGGCTGGCAGCATTGATTTGTAAACAAAGTAGGCCCTGGTGCAAGCCGTGCAAGTGCGTGTCCGCAGTGATGACACGCTGTCCTTTGGCCCAAGACAGAAAGCAATCGCGGAGCAGAGTGAATTGGGAGAAGATGCGCTGACGATGGCTTTCTCTGCGCAGCTCCCTGCGATGCTGGATACCAAGCCAAGTAGCCTCAGAGGTGATAGGCCTTCGGGCTCCTAGCTTGAGCTTTGGGCAGATCTGTGTCAAGCCGTGTGTGAGGTGTGAGTTGATGGCTGCAAGATGCTCATCAACCCCAGCAGTCCAAGGCACAGCTGGCATGTTCTGGAGTAAACGGTTGAGGGCAAGTCGTCCCTGCGCAGTGCCAAGGAATTGCAAATCCAAACGGGGTTGGGCTTCAGTCTTAGAAACCCGTTGCTGCAGGCTCATTTCAACGATGACAGGCTTGTGATCATGGTCGACTAAGCCCTCGAAGTTGGTAGCAGGCCCAAGGGAAAGGACCCCTGCCCGAAGTAGGTGTGGAAAGAGGACATAATCGATGCAGACCCCTTGGCCAATGGGGCTGACCCAGGTCACAACCTCTTTGCCTTCTTTATCAAAACAGTCCGAATGGGAGAGCTCATGCCGGTTAAGGAAGCTGCGCAACATATCAGCATTGTCCGAGACACTCCCGGGTGGGCTGGCTAGGCACGCGTTGGCATCAAGTAGGACAATCGGCGTACAGTTGCATGGAATCATGGAGAAGGCCTGATGCAGACTGGCCCACCAATCTTTGCGCTCACTTGCAGGTGCCCGGGAAGTCGGCGCGTGAGCATTCAAGATGGCAAGTCGGTGGCAGCCTATTTTTGCGAAAACCAGCAGAAGCCTGGGTCGCCGCAGGACTACACTGAACCCGGACGGGTCCCAGTACAGCTTTTCACCTTGAAGCTGGCCGACTGCAACCTTTTTAGAGAACCAGATTTGGCAGCCTAATTGACCCTGGCAAGAATCGCTGCCTAAAACGTGGAAATCAGCAGAATGTTGTCGAGCTGCACAACTGCACCTGGTCTCCTGCAGGCCCACAACACTCACACCGAGCTGTTGGAACTGCCTGCTCAGTGATTCTTTCTGCGCATGAGATGCTAGAGACAGGCAGTTGTAGGTACACAACTTGAAGTTGAGCAAGCCATCTCCCGGTTGAGGAGGCTCGCCCAAAACCTGTGCCAACGACGGCCCACTGGTAGAGGGGCCTCATCGACAAGGGTACCACTTGGGCTCAGAGCAGGAATGGAGTGGCTGGAACCAATTGCTACCCAGAGCCATTTAAGGACACCTTCTCTGGCCGCTTCCGCCAAAACTCCAGGAATGTCACTGTGTAGCTGGCGGCACGCCGCCATTTTGGCAGTCTGGTCGGCAAGCTCATTCAGAGGATGCTGTGTATGGGAGCGGATATGAAGAAACCGGGGTTTTCGCCCCAAGGCATCCAAAAGGTGAGCAAGGGACACAACGGCATCTGAGAGAGCGGTTTGTTGGCTAGCCACGGCTAAACCTTGGGCGAGATCGCCTGCTGAGGTGGAATCGTATCCGATAAGAACCGGAATGGGCAAAGCGATCGCAACTGCAAGCGCATGAGCAATGGCCGAAAGCTCAACCTCGAAGCAGGATGCCACTGCAGTGTCGAAGGTTGACTTCGAGCCTGCGACTGGAGCCTCGGTAGCGCAGGCTCCAATCCAGCACCATTCGCCATGTTGAAAGCCGATGGCAATGATGGCCCAACCGGCCGACGCCCCCGCACCTGTGTCCGGGTAATAGGAACCATCAACAAAAAGCTGAAGTGCCTCATTGTCTGGGCAAGCCCTGGGAAGCCGCCTTATGAAATCAGCCGAACATTGTGGGATCCCGGGCACAGCACACCAGTCGAGCTGGAAGACTTCAGCGCCACAAGAGGCAAAGATATAGTCGAACATTTCGAGGGTGGCACCAAAGCGCAGGCTCGCACTCCTGCGTTCCTCACCGACCGATTCAGGGCCGGTACCGGCGGGAGGGATACAGTGGCTTAGGTTGAGAGGAGCGCGATCCGTAGGCATCGCTGTCGCGGTCATCCCTGCTGAAGACCCACTCTTATCGACGCCACCGGCTGGCAAATGACGTCGTCCCATCGGTGTGGCAACCGAGACCTTGCGCAGCCTGACCTTCGTTTGCAGTAGACTCAAGCTACCTGAGAGTGATGCGGGTCGAGGTCTTGTGCGCGCCGCCTTGTCTGCTGAGGTGGCTGATGGTACAAGCAGAGAGTAAGCCACCCCTTGCGCAAGAGGCAGAGGTGCGTACGCCGCAGTGTATTGTGAACGTGGCAGCAACCGGAGTGGCGGAGGAAGGGTCTGTGAAATGGCCGCCGTGTGAAAGAACTCCGGCTGGAGTGGCGCAGGCATGAGTATGGTAAGGAAGGGGTCATCATCCCGAAAGCGGACAAAAGCAGTACCGGCAATACTGATCGCCCTCTCAGCTTCAGTGACCCTATCTGCTGCAGTAAAGATGCCCGCTGCACGGAAAACCTCCTGCGCCTCTTCGAGTGTCGGTCGATATGGCGACTCAATGGCAAATTGAAAAGGCGGATGCCGGGCGCTCAGTAGCCAAAGAGAGTTGGACCCCACTCCAAATCTGCCAAAAATCTCGAGCCGGCGTGTAGCAAGCTCTTCGAAGAAACGCATGAAGGCCCGATTGTTGCGTTCAGCAAGAGCTGTGCCCAGGGGGCCCCTCACATGCGTAAGTGGCGGAAAGGCAACAGGAAGCGACCACAGTCGAAGAGACTGTACACAGTGCATGAGGTAGGTAGCCGGGGTGACTGTGGGCTGCCCTAACGCATTGATATGCACCAGCTGGAGATAATCTCCTGTTTCAATGGGCCGCCGCATGGCATGCATCGGCAGTCCGTTGACAAGAAAGGTTAGCTCCTGTTCTTTCTGAGCCGGTGTGAGCAGCTGCTCTGGCCATGTCCCTGCCGGTGCTTCCATCGAGTACATTCCACGACCGTTAAGGGTCGTGTCGATGACGACAGAAATCATGTCCTCGAAACCGCAGGTGAGAACGAAGGGCACGAGAAACCTGCCTTCTTCACGCAAGGGAAAGGCCTGCAACATCTGCACCGAACCGGCATCTGGAAGCCTGGTTTGTCTAGCGTAGGTGCCAACTAAGACAGCCAGCGCCAGTTCTGGCTTAGAGCTACGGACAACCAAGGGCGAGGTGCGCAACACTTTGGGTCCATGTACAAGGGCAAAGCTTAATGTCTCGTCTTCCCGCATACGCATCAAGGTTGTGGTACTTGTGGTGCTGGCCCCTAGTTGCGCCAGAAAGGGACTGCCTCCCCTGGGACGGATCACCAACCAATCAAGCTGATCTAAGTCCAAGGGAAGCTGAAGCACAACGGCACCGAACTGATCCTGCAGGAACGGCGCTGCCTGACCTTGAAGCCTGAGCTGCACAGCAACATCCGCGGTGGTAAAAGGGAGGAGGGAGTCCAAAACATCCTGCATGTGCATTTCCGGCTCAACGGGAATGGGGAACACCGGTCCCCCGAGGGGCCTGAGGTCGACTGGCACGACCCTCCAGGGAGCAGTGACGTTAACTGGCGTGAGGACAAGCTGCGGCGAGGCAAATCCGGTAAGCGGACACTGCAGACCATGAACCGCCCTTATGGTTTCGTCCCAAGCTGATGCTTGCGCAGCAAGCGAGCTGGTGCAGAGTCCAACTCATGCCTGCTGTAAGCCGTCTGGGAGCTTGATGCCAAGCGTGCACCGTAAACGGAAAACAAGGCGCTGCGTTCCTGCCAGTCATAGGCTCCAAGACAAATTGAAGCGACTCCGCAACTCCCTGCTCGTTTTCGAACATGGCTGCGGGAAGGCACTCACAAGTGGGTCTGGAACCTGGGTTGGCCATGCGCCGTGTGTGTGCCGTGGGCGGTGGGTCCCCAGGAAGGACAGCTTCCCGTCGCTGTTCCTGGGCCGTCTCAATGTGAGCACTGCGCAGCGTGAGTCCAGTATCTCGCAGCCTTGCAGCCTCAGAGTCGCTACAAGCGATGGAGACTGGAAGATCTTGCTCCTGCATCACAAACTGAAGCACAACCCATTCGTACTTGGCCAAAGGCGGAGAAATTGCAACGTGTCTGTGTCCCGCGGAATCGACAAGTGCAAGTGGTGGTCCCTGCCTGAAGCGGACAAGACTCGGAATGGGAGCTCCCGCAGCAACATATGGCTCAAGTTCGTGCAGGGGTAGCACTGGTGGTATGCTCGCAGTGACAACGTCAAGCCCATGGCATCGAAAAACGAACACGAGGGCGAAATGGTTGACAGGAGCAGAGGCAGGAGAAAGGATGACTTGGGGTATGGGATAGCCCGCCAGCGGCCTGGTAATAAATTGTATAGCCCTCACTGAGAAAGTAGCGGATCCGACAGGCTCTGACACGAGGCCGTGCACCCGGCTCAAGGACCGTGTAACGCCCTCGGCCTTGTGCATCGATTGCCGGTCGGAGCTCAACTATTATTCTCTCAAGTGGAAAATAAAGCGCAGAGCCGTCCAAGTCGGGTGGGTAGACCGTAGCGCGAGCAGCCCTGATAAACGCAATTTCGGTCGGTCGCAAGGGCTGTCTGGAAGGCCTGTCGGCAGAAGGGCCCGGCGGAACAAGCACTGGACCGTGGCCCTGTGTTCTCCTCGCAGCTGCGGGTTCCGGAGAGCCTCGCTTCCAGGGCCTTTTCTGCGCTCTGTGTGGCCGGTTTGATACACTTGACGAGAAGGATCCAGGCCCAAAGCTCGAGACACAAGAGAGCTGTACAAGAGCACTCGTATCGGTGGCAGCCTCAGCCGTGCTGACAGAAGTCAGGAAATCAAGCTCCAGATCAGCAGCAGTTGGAAAAGGTTCCCCCTCAGGCGTAAGCAATGTGAAGGGACCCTTGGGCAAGCGCTCCGGTGGACATCTGTCTTGGCAATGTGCGTACATACTCTGAGCATCCCATCCGACTGCAACGGCAAGTGTGCACACTCTCCCTTGGAGGGGTCGGAAGTCAATCGGGACTGGATTGCTGTGTGGAAGGTCATCCCTTGTGGTGAGCACGAACTGAGCAGCGGGAAACCCAACTAGTCGCTTTTGCAAAAGCTTGACTGCCAGGGTCCCGGGGAATTCCTACTTAACGAGGTCGAAGATGATTTCGTCCAAGGATCCTGAACCCGGGATTGGCCTGAGGGTGACATGGTCAGTCGTGCTGAAAGCAACATATCGGTTCTATTGTGAGCCTTGCTCATCGACCCCTGCAGCTCGAAATCCTCGATGCCACTGGAATGCCGTCAAAGGCTGGCATCGCACCTCGGGCTCATCAAGGTGGGCCGGCAAAACTCGAGTCTGCGTGACAACCAGCTGGATCGCATCCAACTCTTCCTGTCCGGATACAGCCGAAGGCTCACTTCCACCAGGCAAAGTGGCTGGGCGAGTGGAATGGCCGGCCGAGGTTCGACAGAGAATGTCCTTGAAACCGGCTGCAGTGTGCATCCATTTAGGATCCTTTGTGTGATTCCGTGGAGAAGTGCCAAGGCTCGACAGGGTACCGACCTTGAAACACTGAAGTGGTTGCAGCCCGAATGGGAAGCTGGAACCGTCCTTGTAACACCGAGGAGTAACCTCCATCTGGCCACCGTCGGCCACGGAGGACGCAGGGTGGCTGGGTGCACATTTTCGGCTCCCAACATGGGGCCGGAGATGCTCGCAGAGTTGTGAAATGTGACGCACCCGAGCATTGTTGAGGGTTTGAGTGCCCTGCTCAAAACAGACCCGGAGTGAGATCGGATGTGCATGGAGGTGCAGGCAACTCCTACGCGGTTCAGAAAATTGCTGTGCAGTCTGTACACGCAGCTGTACATCGGAATCACTGTCATCATTGGCAGTCTGCCCCGCCTCCTCCTCACCAGAGTTGGGAACAACTCGAGAAGCGCACACCTGCTGCACATCACTCTCAACCTCCTGCCGAACCATGCGCAAGGAGGGAAAGCGGAAGCAGAGGTCTGTGGTCTCAGAGTGCTCAACCTCCCCTGGTGTATCGGAGGCAGGGTTGAGACGAAGCGCTGTACGGTTGAGAAGGGCATCCAGCTGAATCTGGACAAAGTGAACGTCCTTGTCATACTGGGTATGAACTGGGTAGCTGCAGTCAGGAAGCCGTGGATCCTGCTAGACTGTGTGTCCCACACACAGCCCGCTTGAATCAATGCCCTGTAGTAGCTGATCCATCAAACCAAGCAGAGAACTAGCATGCTTTCCAACGAAGTCAAAGTGCTCCAGCATGCTGTGGCTGATCGGCTCGCACATAGCACCGAGGCCTATGAACGAGCCTCCTGAAAAGGCTCCTGTTGCACATTGAGCCCCAGGCTGAAGGGCGTGGCCGCCTTGCCCACACCTTTGCCAGGCTGTCCATGCTTGGGCAACTCGCCCCCACCAGTGTCCTCCTCCTTGCTTTCGGCAGTGCGGCGGGGTGTTCGGGAGCCCTCTCGTTCCTGGCTGCCCATGGCTGCCGCCGCCGCTGTACGAAGCTTGCCCAGAACACCCAGCACTTGGCTCGCCTCGTACTTCTTCGCCTCGGTTGCGGATCGTAGCCTTGTCTCCGTCTCCACCGCTACATCCACCATTTCCTCGCTCGCCGTGGCTTCGTTCTCGTCCTTGGCATCTCCTTGCTTCTCGTCCTCCATAAGGCGTGAGAGCTTTTGTTTGGCCTGGTTCTCTGCCACCGCCCACTGTATGTCTGCGGCGTCCAGGTCTTCGAGGATCTTCCCCTGCTCCTCGACTTGCTTTTCGACCAACTGGGTGAGTTGGTTCATGTACTCTGCCCAAGAACGTACGTAGGCGGCACGATGCTGTTGCACCCTCGTTAAGGCCTGTTTGGCCTTGTTGTGGTCCGCCACAGCCTTGTGGTGTGCTCTGGCAGACGTGTGCATGCTCGCCTGTTGTGCCTCGGAAACCAGCTGCTGAGCTGCTTCGGGTAGCTGTACCGAGGAAGTCGCGAGGATCTTGACAAGGGCGTCGAACTGCGACTTTTCCGCAACTGCTGTCGCAGGCGGCGCCTCTGACTTGGGCAGGGCTATCGAAGGTCCTGCAGGAGCTGCCGGCATCGCTTCGGTAGAAGGGCTGCAGGAGGTGCTTCCGTTCCCCAGCCGGCTGACTTCTCCTTCCCCTTGCCCTGCTTGCCCTGCCCATCCTTGCCTTTGCCTTGACCCTTGCCACCTCCTCGCCGCGGGGACTTTTCCGAGCGGCGACGAGGAGATTTGGGTCGTTGTTCTTGCCATGAGTCTTGCCACGAAGTCGAAGGTCGCGGCGTAGAATATGTCTCGTGGCTCCACGGGTGCGAAGGTTTCCAGCCTGCCCCGCAGGATGGACAAAAATTCGCCCCTCTCTTGATCATACGTCGGCAATACTCGCACCACCATCCCTGCCCGCTTTGCTGCGCCATGGTAGGGTCGAGTCGTTGTCTCACTGCTGTAGGTAAGACGCTCGCCGAATGGTGCGATTCCAGCACCCAACAGGCTCTGCGGAGTCTGGTAGTCGAGACTGAGCAGTGCCCTTTGAGCCACGACTTCAAAGTGAAGCGGGCTCGCGTCCTTTGGCGCCTCTGGCGCCGATGTTGGGCTGTCTCCTCCAGTTCCAAATCCAGCGAAGACCAAGAAGAGAACGTAGAGGGTGGTGCGTCCCATGCACCTAAATGAAAAACCCAATCCAGAAGGCAGAGCTACCAGAGCGGCCGCCTAACAGATATGGAAATCCAGCCGCCTAAGCGGGGATATAATGCCGGTCCTCCTCGCGAGGCGTACAGAGGCGGCAAAAGCCAAACCAGTTCTTTGGCAGAGTAAACTGCAGCAAATCCCAGGCAGGCGTAGCACTCGGTTCCACCGAGAATGCGTGGGCACGCTCCCTAGCGGCCACACTTGGGGTACTACGGCCGTCTACCCAAGTAGAACAGAGCCGAGACGCCTGGGTTTAGGGTTTAGGATTTGGGATTTAGGCGGGGTTCCTTTAAGTGGGGATCCCATAATTCCTTTAAGGAGGGCTGCGTCAAGTGGTTTTCAGGGTTTAGGGTTTTCCTTACAAGGGATCCATAAGGGTTCCTAGAAGGGTTCTACATGAGTTTTTTGGGGTGTTGGGGGAGTTAGGGTTTCTTTAAGTGGGGATCCTATGAATCCTTTAAAGGAGGGTTGAGGGCTTAAGGGGTTTAGGGTCTGGAATTGAGGGCTTTTTTTTTGGGGGGGGGGGGGGGGGGGGGGGTTGGGGAAGTGTGAAATACGGTCTGGTCTAAGGCTTAAAGTTGACATTTTGAGGTTTAGGGCTTTGGGCTTAGAAATTTAGGGGCTGGGGTGATGTAGTGTTTCGGGCTTTAAATTTAGGGATTGGGGTTTAGGGTTCAGGAGTTTAGGGCAAAGTTTAGGGTTTATGCACCTTGTAAAAGGAACAAAGGTTGTTGCTATACTCTTGTCATATGAGGACTACAAAGGAATATGGGAGTTTGGGGTGCTTATAATAAGTATCCTACTATTTAGGGTACCTTTTTGGGGTCCCCTATGTCCGGAAACCCTAAACCCTAAACCCCAAAGCCTATTGTTTCTACGTACTGCTTGCGGTGGCCTCGATCTCGGAATTCAGCGCCTCCGCCGTGGTCGGCTCCATGGCGTCTCTCGCTGCCCAGAGCGGGAAGGATGTGGGTAGTTGCCCAAAAACAGGGTTCCTCTAAGGCTCCGTGAAGGGTTCCTTAGGGATGGATTAAGGGCTCCTTAAAGGGTTACTTACAGGGTTCCTTGGCACGAGGTTATATGTGGGTAGTTGTCAAAATTAGGGTTCCTTTTTGGGTACCTTCCCGGAAGAAACTTCTTCCTTGCTTCCTTGGAGCCAAGAGTGGCCGGCGTCCTGGAAATTCCTGGACTCTTCCATGCAAGGAAAACTAGGCCACCCACCACCGCCGATCGCAGCAGAAGTCACAATAACCATACTCCCAAACCACTCAACAAAGGAGTCTTCGAAGTCAGAATAAAGTTCTGGGTTGAGGTTTTGGGGGATATGTGTCATAGGTTTAGGGAACACTGCAGCAAAAAATCCAAGGCTGCAACACGCTACCAGCAACACTGGGCCCCTGTAGCTGAAAACGAAGCTGAAGCCCCAGCACGTCATGCAGTTGAAGTCCAAACTTTAGTAACGAAGTACAGCTCTGAGAAGGAATTTCAGGCTTGGGGCACAAGCCGCAAGGTAGTTACATGCCTGCTCAGCTGCTGCGCGCATGGCTGGCCATAA